GAAGGACAGGGGTTACCTCTTCCTTAAATGTTTTGTAAAATTCTTCTGTGAAACTGTCCGGCCCTGGGCTTTTGTGTGCTGGGAGTTTCTTGGTTACTGCTTCAATTTCCCCAGCTGTTACTGGTCTGTTCAAGCTTTCTGTTTCTTCCTCCTTCAGTGCTGGAAGATTATACTTTTCTAACAATTTGTCCATTTCATCAAGATTTTCAAATTTCTTGGCATATAATTGTTGATAGTAGTTTCTGATGATCATTTGTATTTCTGTGATATCAGTTGTTATTTCTCCTCTTTCATTTCTGATATTATTAATTTGGGTCCTCTCCCTTTTTTTCTTGATGAGTCTGCTGAAAGGCTTGTCAATTTTATTTATCTTTTCAAAGAACCAGCTTCTCGATTGGTTGATCCTCTGAATTGTTCTTTTTGTCTCTATATCATTCAGTTCTGCTCTAATCTTGACTATTTCCTTCCTTCTCCTTGCTTTGGGATTTATTTGTTGTTGTTTCTCCAGTTCTTGAAGTTGTAGTGTTAGGTCTTTTATTTGAAATGTTTCTATCTTTTTTAGGTAAGCCTGTATTGCTATGAACTTCCCTCTCAGGACTGCCTTTGCTGTGTCCTATAGGTTTTGGACTGTTGTCTGTTCATTTTCATTTGTTTCCAGAAATTTTTTTATTTCTTCTCTTATCTCATTATTGACCCATTCATTGTTTAATAGTGTACTGTTCAGTCTCCATGAGTTTCCAAGTTTTTGAAGTTTCTCTTTGAGGTTGATTTCCAGTTTCAAGCCCTTGTGGTCCGGGAAAAAGTTTGGTATTATTTCAATTTTCCTGAATTTGCTGAGGTTTGCTTTGTGTCCTATCATGTGGTCTATCTTTGAAAAACTGCCATGAGCATTTGAAAAGAATGTGTATTTTTCTTCTTTGGGATGTAAGGTTCTATATATGTCAGTTAAGTCTCTTTGATTCAGTGTGTCATTCAGCGCCACAATATGTTTATTAATGTTTTGTTTGGAAGATCTGTCCATTTTTGACAGTGGGGTGTTGAAATCCCCTACTATCAGTGTGGTGTTGTCTATATCTTTTTTGAAGTCGTCCAACAATTTCCTTATAAACTTGGGGGCTCCTATATTGGGAGCATAAAGTTTACAATGTTGATGTCTTCTTGATAGATTCTTCCTTTAAGTATTATAAAGTACCCCTCTGGGTCTCTCTTTATGGCCTTTCTTTTGAAATCTCCTTTGTCTGATACAAGTTTGGCAACCCCGGCCTTTATCTCATGCCCATTTGCTTGGAATATTGTTTTCCATCCCTTTACTTTCAATCTGTGTAGATCTCTTGCTCTGAGGTGGGTCTCTTGTAGGCAGCATATGTGTGGGTCATGTTTTCTTACCCATTCAGCTACCCTGTGTCTTTTGATTGGGGCATTTAGTCCATTCACATTGAGAGATATTACTGATAGAAACTTACTCATCTTTTCTCTTTGTACCTGTGTTCCTCTCTCTCTCATTCTTTTCCTTCATCTGCTTAAACCAGTCCCCTTAGCATATCTTGGAGTGCTGGTTTGGTAGAGATGTATTCTTTTAGCCTTCTCTTCTCTGGGAAAGTCTGTATTTCCCCTTCTATTTTAATGGAGAGCCCAGCTGGGTAGAGCAGCCTTGGCTGTAGGCCCTTGCTTTTCATGGCTTGGATTATTTGTTGCCATTCCCTTCTGGCTTGTAGTGTTTCTGTTGAGAAGTCAACTCCTAGGAGTATTGGGACCCCCTTGTATGTTACTTTCTCCTTCTCCCTTGCTGCCTTGAGGATTCTCTCTTTGTCTTTGACATTTGCCATTTTAATGATGATGTGTCTTGGAGTGGACCTATTTGAGTCCCTCTTGAGTGGGGTCCTCTGTGCCTCCTGGATCCATGAGAGCCTTTCTCTCCTCAAATTAGGGAAATTTTCCATCATTACTTTTTCGAGGAGGTTCTCTATTCCTTGCTCCTCTTCTTCTCCTTCTGGTATCCCTATTATATGGATACTATTGCGTTTCAGGTTGTCCTGCATTTCCCTACATGCCTCTTCATTCTTTTTGGGTCATTTTTCCATTTCTTGTTCTTTCTGGGAGCTTCTTTCTACCTTATCCTCCATCTCAGTGATTCGATCCTCGGCTTCATCCAGCCTGCTTTGGATTCCTTGTACTGTGTTCTTCAATTCAGAAATGGTATTCTTCATATCCTCTTGTGTCTTCTTGATAGTTTCTATGTCCTTTTCCAGGCTAATATAGTTTGCTGTAAGATCCTGATAGTTTCTTTGCCGTTTCTCATAGTTCTCTTTGAGCTGGCTGAGCTCATTGAGCTTCCTTAGAACCATTGTTTTGAATTCTGTATGATAGTTCCCTTGCCTCTATTTCATTTATCTCTCTCTGTGGGGAGTTCCCTTTTCCACTCATTTGGGGGGAACTTCTTTTTCTTCCCATTTTTGTGAGAGTCTGTTAAGTATTTTTGTCCTTTACTTTTCTTTCTCGGCCTGCCTCTTATGATGTGAGTTGTTGACCCTATAGGACCTTGGGTTGTCTGTTTGAGCCTTCCAGGAGTCTCATATCTGTGTCTGACTCCTGCTTGGAGCATCTCTGTGACCCCTTCGGTCAGGGCTGGGCTATTTTTTGGGATCTCTCTGCACTCTCGTGCAGGCTCCTTGAGCTCGCTCCCAGCGCGGCAGGATCCCCTGCCTGCCTGGGCTCGCCTGTGCTTGCCCCAGACCAGGGGTCTTATGCGCGACCTCGTGTACTCATCTGGCCCCCTGGCCAGCGAGCTCCGCGGCTATGGTCAGTTTAGGGTCTTCTATTGTGTATTTTCCCCGCTTTTGGCTCTTTGGGTGCGTTGCTTGCCCTCGCCAAATGGGGAGTACGGAAATGGGAGGAAGTCACCTCCAGGACTCTCTGGTTAATCCTGTCTCTGGTCTCTCCTCCAGGGACTCTGGGCAGCTGTACTAATTTTGTGGCCGCTCCTCAGTGGCCGGCGGGCTGGTCAATTTATGTCTGCCCTTGCCACTCTGTGCACTCCCTCGCAGGCCGTATTGGTGCCAATCTGTGGGAGGCCTTGCCGGCCGGTGCAAGCGTTCACCAGCCCGCGCGGGTCACACACACGCTCGCCAACCCTCGCCAGTCACTCGGCGCAAGTGTGCGCGCCTGCAGTGGGTGTTTTTGGGGTGTCGATGTGTGCTTTTCGGCTTTTGGCTCTTTGGGGGTGTGGTCTCTTCCCGCACAATGGAGACTATGACAAGGAGAAGGAGTCGGGAGTCCCTGGTTCCTCCTCCCGTTCTTTTCCAACGTCTCCGTTTCTAGTCTCTCCTCAGGGGTCTCTGGGCAGTTCTGTTACCCCTTCGGCCAAGGATCCACCACCTGTGTGGCCTGCGTTTCAATCACAGGCAGTGTCGTTCCTGCGCGCCCCTCTTCTGCCTCTTTGGGGGCACGCCTTTCCAGCCCACAATGGAGACTACGGAAAGGGGAGGGAGTCGGGGCTCCCTGGTTCCTCCTCCCGTTCTTTCCCCAACGCCTCTGTCTCCAGTCTCTCCTCAAGGCTCTCCCAGCCAGTCTGCGCTCAGCCCCGCAGCTCACAGGCGTAGAAGCTGTGCGTGGAGCGCAGAAAAGGCAGGTTAATTGATTCCCGTATGCCTGAGCGAGATGGTAGCTGCAGAGTGGGAGGCGTGCCATCACCAGGGATCCACTGGCCGCCCTGTCAGTTCTCTTCACAAAGTTTTCCTCACCAGTCTTTTCCCAGGCACCAGCCCACCCTGCTGCCGCCTCTGCCGAGAGATCAAGGAGGGTGGCTGCCACTGCAAATTTTGTGTTGGCCCTTTAAATGTCTCTGCATCCCCAGCCACCTGTCTCTGGCAGAGAGCGCCCCTAAGCTTTTTGGGGTTGCATTTTGTCTGTATTTTCTTGGTTTTAGCTGCTGTAGTTTAGGGGTTCCTGTTTATGATTCAGACCCCGTTCTTCTCGGGGGAAGCTAACTGGCCATTTCAGTGTCCCTCTGGTGCCAGTGCCCGTGGGCACCCAGCCCACCCTCTTGAGCCTCCACCGCATTTCTCATCCATTGGGATGTGTGAGAGTAGAATCCACTGTCCGTGGCACCAAGGCTCCTCTCCCACTATCGCTCCACTGCTTTCCAGGTGATTATTCCACTACTTAGTTGCAATTCCAGTTTGGTCTTGGGAGGAGGTCATTGTGACTCCCATTCACTCCTCCGCCATCTTCTCCGGATCTCTGCCATATGCTGTTAGTAATAAAAGTTTCCTTTGGAAATTAATCCTCTAGCCAGCCAAGTCATCCACACATTCTCTGCGCGAGAAAAATCATTTTTTAAAATGGAGGTGTGAGCGTAAAACACCTACAGGCAGGAAGAGAACAACAGGTGCTCCCTGCAAACACTAAATACCCAAACGGACCTTCTGAGCGAGCCAAAAGCGTTTAGCCTACATTGTGTTCTTCAGCTGTCGTTTCAGGGACTTTTTGATAACAAAAATGCCCTCTCCCCTTGGCCTTGCCATTTTCCGTCCACCACTTACTACCGAGCGCATGTCAGACTTATCTGGGCGCAATCTTTGTCGCAGCCAGCCATCTCACTCAGCCACCCGCGCAACCACGTTTCCTTAAATCAGAGCTCCAGTATCTAGCATTTTAGTTTAAATTGATCATATCAAATTTAGCCAATGCTTGTAAGCTAAGTTTTGTTTTCATACAAAATCTTAAAATAAATACAGTATATGCTTTGCCTGGATGTTAAAATTACAAGTGAGTTTTACATTTTTCCTAATAACTTGTACTTTATTTCTCTTGAGAATGTTATTTCTGAAATTATTTTTTCCTGGTTATCTTTCTAAAGTCACCACATGAGGGAAACTGGATAAGTCTTTCAAACTTACCTAGGGTAGTGGTATATGCTTAGCCCAGTGTCAAACAGTAGTTTATATGCAATAAATTTAGGTGGAATGATTTTCCATTTGTTATTTCCATGCTTTTAATAGGCACTGAAACACCCGTATTTTCAAGTTGGTCAAGTATTAGGCCCTTCCTCACATCATCTGGAATCGAAACAATCTTTGAATAAGCAGGTACAACTGCTAGAATCGAAGCCATCTTTAATTGATCCAGAGCCTAAGCCTCTACCAGAAGTACATGATCAGACTGCCGGACAGCCCCAGCCAAAATACAATCACCAGCCACTGCAGCCCATCCAGCCTCCACAGAACATAAGTGTCCAGCAGGCGCCAAAGCAGCAGGGCCAACAGAAACAGCCTCAAACACTGTTTCCAAGTATCATTAAAAACATGCCAACTGTAAGTTGCCCATGATGCTTTAGATGTAATAGTTTTACTAGCTCAAGTAGGATTTTGTTTCTAGGCGTTTCTAAAAATGTCAGGGAAGGTATAGAAGATTATTTTATGTCAAAGCCTCTCCGTCAGGAGCTTGGCGTGGGATAAAATTCTAAAAAGAAAAATTCAGAATGAATGTAATAAAGTTTGCGTGCTATGGACTTTAACAGTTACTTAGATGCAAAAGAACTCAAAACAAAAAAGAACAGAAAAGTAACTGGAACAAAATAGCTGGTAAGGATTTTAACAGTAGTTTTATACTGTTTTTAAATGTTAATGAATGTGAACAGAGTAGTTGTTTTTTTTTTTTTTAAGTGTCAGGCATAATATTAAACTTCCTCTTCCCATTTCTTTTGTTCAGGGAGCTTATAGGTGCCATTGTATTTTAATTGTCTCCTCAAGAGGTATACTATACTCTCAAATGCATTTGCATTTTTGGCATTTTAGAACTGAAAAAGATCTTAAAGAACCCTGTGTCTAATTCCTTATCCAGTCCTGCCATCCTGCCCCCAATAGCAGTAATTACAGTGTGACATATTACTAATTACTTGTTTCTTATGTGTATCATTTATTATCTGTCTCTTCCATGAGGTCAGGGATGTTTGTGTGTTTTGTTTAGGGACCCAGACTCAGAATGGGGCCTGGCACATAGTAAATTCTCAACAAATATCTGTTGAATGAATGGATGAGTAATTGCCCATACTATCTTTGAACAACCTCCAGGATCTTGAGGAATCCACATATCTGACTATTAGAAAGTTTTTCCTTATACTGAGCTAAAATCTGGTTTTCTGTGTCTTTTAACAAAAGTTTATCACTCTTCTAGAAAGGCAGCATTTCAGATATTTGAAAATAGCCCCTATATCATCTGCCCTTTTTCTCTAGGAGAAACATCCCCAGTTCCCTCATGTGCTTCACACATGACACTGTTCACCAGTGACAGTAACCCTTGGTTCCTGTGTATGAAGGAGCCTTTGAGTCCCCTCATTATACTACTTCTCACTTAGAAAGAGGCTGCCCAAGCTAGAGGCAGATAGCAGACAAGGAGTAAAAAACAGGATGAATCACCTCCAACATTCCAGAACCATATGTCTACTTGTACCACCAAGGATTACATTTGTTTTTGTTTTTGTTTTTCTTGAAAGGCACATCCAATGTAGACTCATACTGAGAGGGAAGGAAAGGAAGTTGATATTTGAGTAGCTAGTAAGTGCGATGCACTCAGCTAGGTCCCCCAGCATGTATTCACTAAGTTAAAGTACCCAATAACGTAGCCCTAAATTTTTAGATAGCAAATAAATTACAGAGGTGAGATTGAGCATTTTGTCAACTAAAATTCCTAAGTCTCTTGTTTTTTACAAGTGCTTCTGCTAAATCACATATCCCTACCTTTTTTGTGTATTTGATCTCTAGGATTGAAAAATTGCAGGAGCCTACTTTTACCTCTCAAATGTCTAATAAGTATTTTTAAACCCTTATTTTGTCTTCTCAGTTTAACTATTCTGCCCAGGTTTTCACCAGCTATAGATTTGTTCAGTTGTTCATTTTTTTCTCCTGTACCTTCATGATGAACAATGAGCCATTGGGCAGGCCACTTCTTCCAGATTGACATTGATCATTAATCAGTGCCCTTGGCCATAAAGAAATACCATAGACTGGTGACTTAAACAACAGAAATTTATTTGCTCACAGTTCTGGAGTCAGGGAAGTCCAATATCAAGGTGCTAACCAATTTGATTCCTGGTGAGGGCCCTCTTCCTGGTTTGCAGACAGCACCTTCATGTTTTTGCCCTTAGATGGCAGACAGAGAAAGCAAGCTTTTTCTGAAGTCTCTTATTATAAAGGTGCTAATTCCTATCATGAGGGCCTCACCCTCATGACCTCACATAATCCCCAATTACTTCCTAAAGGCTCCATTTCTCAATACCATCAAAATGGAGTATAAATGGAGGGAGCGGGCAATAAACATTCAGTCCATAACAGTACTGATCCAACTTTTGTTACTTCACTTCATTACAGCATGAAAGACCTTTTCACCCACTTTGTTGAAGTCCATATAGAGTACATGTATTCATTTGTCTTTTATGGGAAATGGTGGCACATATGACCTACCACTTATTTTACTCAGTGCTCAAAAACTTTCCCTTTAATTACTAATTTTAGAATCTTTTTCCTCGTCCTATACCAAACTTATTAATGTGGAGTTAGTAAAAATTCATCATCTACTTCACAAAAATTATACTTGCCCCTTTCTGATTTTCTCAGACATACAAGATTACTTGATACTACTGATGTTGTTTAGCAGCATACAGCATCAGCTCCCTAAAATACAATTCAACTGAAATAAGAGTCTTGAACTCAGCTAAGTATAACTTTTGATTAACTCTGCTCATACAGGGCTTTAAATCATTTTATTCTCCTTAGTCTGGAGCTCTTGCTTCCTGACAAAGAAAAAAATAGTGTAATAGAATTTGGCAAATAACACTTTTTGTCATTGTCCATCACTGTAACATCATCAGCTTCAGGCAATAGCGTGTTCATTCTTTAAGCATCTTCTTCCTCCCAACATAGTTGTATTTGCTACCTTGTTTCCAAATTCCCTAATTTTCAATTGCCTTTTGGATTTTTCAGTTTACATGTCCCCAAACCACCCCATGTCAATTTGAGTAAAACCAACTAATTGTCTGCCCCAAGCCAGATCTTCCTTGTTTGTTTGTTTTTTTTCTATCCTCACCTGAAGATATGTTTACTGATTTTAGAGAGAGGGGAAGGGAGGGAGAGAAAGAAAAAAACATCAGTGTGAGAGAGAAACATCGATTGGTTGCCTCCTGCATGTATGTGGACCAGGAATCGAGCTTGCAACCTAGGTATGTGCCTTGCCTGGGGATTGAACCAGCAACCTTTTGATGTACAGGATAACGCTCTAACCAACAGAGCCACGCTGTCAGGGCCCTCATTCCTTATTTCTTTTAAAAAGAACCACCATCTGAGGTGATTCGGCTCAAACTTTTAAAGTGTCCTGACCTTTCCTCCTCTGTGTCTACTAGGATTACGTGCAGTGACGTATGACAGAAACCTGACCACTTTGACTTAAACAATAGGGTTTGTTTTTCTCTCATAAAAAGAAGTTGGGTGGTGGGCAAGCCAAGGCTGGTGCCACTTGTAAAAGAATCGGATGCTTCTCTCTTCTTGTTCTCCTACACATAGCAAGCAGCTTTTATTCCTATGGACATAAGATGATTGCTGCTCCTGTGGGGTTACATCTGCCTTCTAGAAGAGGGGAGAGTGAAATACACTGACATAGGCTAGAAGAGTCTAAAAATGTCTGTCCTGGAATTCCCTTCCAACAGACTCATGCATACAACTCACTAGCTAGATCATGTCACATGGGCTACCTATAGCTGCAAGGAAGGCTGGGGGTTTGAATATTTAAACTGGGCACATTGCTGCACTGAACAAAATATTAGTAAGGAAGAAGAGGAGAAAGGCTACTGGGTGGGCAGCTAACAGTGTCTGACTCTCCTTTGACCTCTGTCCAGATAGACACAAAGTCCGGACCTTTTATTCTTTGTTAATAGAGTTTTTTTTCCTGAGCATTCCAACCACTCTGAATCTGTTGCCCTTGTCACTGCCTGCCCTTGTCACTGCCTTATAATTTTAAAGGCCTCCTATTTGAAGCCAGGCCCTTCTAGCAGGTTGCCTTTATCACATCACTTTTTTTAAGCTCAAAAATATCCAGTGTTCTCCATTACCCAGAGGATGACTTCAGTGTGTTAAGCCCTTCATAATGTAACACCAGTATGTTTTTGCAACCCTGTCTTCTGCTACTTTAGCACAAACCATCAACTTCTGTAAAATTAGCCTACCTTTTTATCCTGGAACAAACTCTGGCACTTTCCTATTAAAAAGCCATATTTTATACATATTTTATATATTTCCTCTTCCGAAGTCTAGAACAATAATAACTATAACAACAACAATAATAATATCTAACCTTTTGTAAGCCTTATGTGCTAGGCCCTATTCTAAGGACTTTCAGCATATACTATTAAATTCATAAACACCAAGTTAGATAAATACTATATGTTCCCATTTAAGGAGAAGGAAACTAAGACTTTGAGAATTTAAGTCACTTGCCCAAAGAGACACAGCCACACATGGCAGTTTTCCAAATTACACATCAATGAAGAGTCAGTTTTGATCCTAAGTATTCAAGTCTCCTTCCAAACCAGGTTCCCAGAGATTGGTCCCTTGTATCAATTCCTGTAGTATTTTTAGCATATGCTACCTCTATTTTGCTAATACTTTCAAATGTGTGTGTATGTTTATGTGTGTCTGTCTGTGTAATCTCCTTCATTGTATGGAAAGCTCCTTGAGAATGGGGACTAGTATCAAATATAATCGCTTGTGCATAAAAGGCATTCAGCAAATGATTAAAGATGATGATGACTGATCTTCCACCACAGAAGCCAAATGGCACGCTGGGGAATAAAAGCACTAGGAGGCGTTGGGGTCAGACTGTGTTCAAGTCTGGAGATAGTTGGGAAGAGATCGAGGACTATGATTTTGGAATCTCCAGTTCCAAGAAGTCAAGCATGAATGTTTTCAAAGAAAAGAGGAGAAAAGATTCTCCATTTCGGTAAGATTTCAAATTCCTCCGGAAAGTATATTTTTATCATGTATCAACTTTATTTTACTCATTAGATACAAATGTAGATAGTAAGACTAGCTTACCTCTGAAAAGGGTAAGACTCTTGACTACTCACACAGTAATGATTCTCAGTATTAATGGCTGGGTGTTTGCAGGTGTGTGGAGGAAGGGGTTCTTGTTAAATTTTCATTATGCCTGTTGAATTATGATCATCTTTATTCCCATTTGAAATTCAAATACCTATTGGCAGAAAGGAGAGCACACTCTGATGTTGTTCAGATTCAACTATTTATTTGCTTGCTCTTCTAAACTTTTTCTATCATTTCCTGAACTTTTTCTGAATTTTAATATCCCTAGCAGTCCCTTTTCATAAGTTGAATCATCTTGAATGCATTATTCAACTTTGAAGTGAGGGTGGGTTCAATTTTGGTGAATGTTTTGGGAAAATATTTTCCTTTTTTTTCTCTTTGAAACAAAAGAGGAAAGGGAGAAAAGACGTGGCATGAGTCAAGGAAATTTATCTAATAGCTGTTTGGTAATATAAAGTGGAGAGATCTTCATTTTGGGGTATACATATCTCTGAAGGTACATGAAAATTCTCCAAGGGGGACATATGCTTGGATAATTCCTAGTCTAATTTGTAGATCCTCGAGTTCCACAGTACTCTAACCCTAAACTACTTGAGCTGGAGAACAAGCCTACTAATCCACCTTCCACTTTGCCAGAGAGCCACACCTCTCAGCCATTTCAGTCTTGCATGTCATAAGGGCGTAACAACCTGTGTGGTGCTACACAAAGGGAGAAATCTGAAGACTGCCACATTCAACTCAGAAGTCTTTCTGTTTTTCCTTGTCTTGGGCGTATTTCTCCTAAGGGGAAAAGCCTACATTAAAAATAGGGTATTTTGGTCTATGTTGGAAGGCATGAAGAGTCACACCTACTTTAGGGACCAGAGCCTAGTGATGCTTTATTTTGTAAGGGTACTAGAAATGTTCTGTGAAACTACCTGATTTTTCAAAACCTATGGATGTAAATTATATGTAACTTTTGCAGATTCAGAGTGTTTTATGTAATAAGGTAAATACTCATTTTATCGCGTCATACTGTGAAATACTCTAATTATAGTCAATTCCCCTATTTCATCTTATAGAATATTAACTATTTTTATCTGTTAATAAGTAACAAGAAATAAAATTAATTTATGATGAAAAATTACAGACTTCAACTTAAACATGTGCAGGGAACTACATAGTTTTGTTTTTTTTTTTAATTTTTCAAACAGTTCTTTCCATTTAGGAGCAAGAGTTTGAAGACCATTGGTATAATCTGTAGACAACTTGAAAACTTCTTTTTAAACCTATGCCATTCTAATCCCAGCTGAAAAAAAAAGTTTAGTATACAAAAAAGTTTATTGTATACAGGGGCAAGCAAAAGTATGTTAATAAAAATAATACAATAATTAATAAATAATAATACAAGAGTAAACTTTTGTGTACTCGGAAGTGTAAACCTACTTTTGCCTACCCCTGTATTTTTAGGGTAGAAGATATCTGAATCAAAACCTATAATTAAGATCAAGTTTGTAGTCTGTATAGTCGATTCTGGCAAGGAGACAATTGGTAAATTTCTTCAACATCAAATATTCCTTTTCCTTTGAAATTCTTTAGAAAAAGAGAACTAGGTAACAATTTTTAATGTAGATAGTTCTTTCATTTCTATTTTTTGGTATTTTTAAATGGCCTTACATACTTTAAAGCATATAATAATTATTAATATACTACCATTTATTAAGCACCTACCTAAATTTTATTTATAACTTTCATATTTCAGTAAAACATATGTGCAGAATAGGATGTTGAGACTCAAACAGGTTAAATGAATAGGCTGCCCAAGATCAGATGAGGCTTAACTCAAGTACAGATCTCTGACTCTTCTGTACCACTCTCTCTCTTAAGCAGCCGGTGCTCAAATACTTGGTGAACCGAAGGGACTCTGCTATTCTCTCCTCAGTTTCTCAGGCAGCCTGGTCTTCCCCATAAAGAATACAGACTACCAAATCCTGGAGTGTAACACCTTTATGTAATGGTTATCTTCTTTTAAGATATTTATACTAATTAATATTTATACTTGTATTCATACTCAGTAGACTTTTACTCAATACGTACTTGTTATTAAGAAGAAGTGTGAACATGATGTCATCTGTCTTCTATCCATCAAATGTGTAGCAGCAGAAATAGGACCTTCAAGTATCTGTTAAGACAGAGTATGTGTTAAGTACCACTACTGAGTGAGCTGCAGGCTACTTTCAGAGCTCTGTTGATGGGCAGACCACTTTGAGGAGGAAAGTCTTTTCAGAGTAATCAGTTTTGAAAACGAGTAGAATTTCAGCAATTGGTGTAACTACAATGGGCTGCGGGGAAAGGAAAGAAGTCAGAAATGGATGGGTCTGTTTCTAATAAAGGCGGCCTACCTGTGTTTAGGGCAATCCCAAAGTGGGCTGGGGTAGCCAGCAGTTCAAAGGGCCAGCCAAGCCCATGTCAGTCTCCAGAGGGGTCCCAAACAACCTTACTGATTATACATATACAGGTGACGGTAGCTATGATTGGCTTCCCTTTCCGTGTGCCGTTTTCTCACATTATAAATCCACAACTGCAGCAGTTGCAGGGAAGATAGAAACATATACACAGACAGTTTGCTGCTTACTGACAAAGCTTTCTGTCACGTAATGTCTTGCATTAGATACGATTCTATGCACTGGCTAATATTTATTGGGGGGCGGGGGCGGGCGGGAAACGTCATCAGTTAGTGTTCCTATCAACAAAAGAACTCTGATGGAAACCATTTGAGTGAGGGCACCTTGACTATTTTGAAAAGTTGTGCAAAGAGTGGGTGAAAAGTAGTAATGTCATCTCTCATTCTTCATGCTGTAATGCTACCTTATATTGACTTTCAAGGCTTCCAGAGTCAGTACCCTCAGACTCCAACCACTCAGCAGGAGAAAACAAGAGCTTATCTACTGCCGTTTCCCTAAAATCTGAGTCTGAATTGCCAACTGCTTCAACAGCTAAACAGTACTACTTAAAACAATCAAGATACCTTCCAGGTAAGCAGAGAAAATGTTTACTTCAAACAACATAGGTAAGTCAGACTTGAGTGCCTTGGAACCTATGTGAAAGGGCACCCTTGAAATAAGTATAATAACAGTGCTCTTTGCTGGCTCAGCCTTGTCAGTGCTTGTTACCAAGTACTTTCTGGGTCTCCTGCCTTTGTGAAGTCTACTCAAGAAATGCCTAGCAGCCAAAAATCAAGGTGAAGAATATGACTCAAAAAAATAGCACCCTCCCCCCAAGCAAAGCTGTGCCTTAAGGAAATGCTTAATTTTATTAAAGCATTTCCTCCATTACAACTTTTTGTAAAATGTAGAATTTTGTACACTTCCCTAAATAATGTGATATATGTGTTTGAAAGATCATTTGATTTCTGAGTAGAACTGCTAGGGGCACAAGATGGGCAAGGAGATTGGTCAAGAAGCCATTGCTTATGTCTGGGTAGAGAAGATAATTGCTTATTCCAGAGTGGTGAAAGCAGATAAGGAAATGGGTGAAATCTAGATGTATTTCAGTAGTGGAACTCGCAGGACTAGCTGATGGATTAGCATGAGTATTGGTAAAGAATGGAAGGAAACAGTGTTGGCTTCTGGGTTTTTGACTTGGCAGCTAGGTAGATAGTGATGACTTTAACTGAGAAAGGGAAGATCAGGAGAGGACAGGAGTGTGGAAGTAGAGAATCAGGAGCTGAGGTTGGGATGCCTCTTTTTTTATTGTTATTCTGTTACAGTTGTCCCAAACCCCTTTGCCCTCCTCTGCCCAGCCCACACTCCCCCAACCCTGCCACCATCAATACCCACACTGTTGTCTATGTCCATGGGTTATTCATACATGTTCTTGGGATGCCTATTGAACACTTAAGTTGATATATCTAACAGACAATTGGGTATGTGAATCTGGAACTTAGGAAAAAGATATAGACAGATGGTGGAGAATTTACATTGAACCTGCAAATAGAATTTTCTTCTCAAAATTCACTTTAAAAAGTTTAAAATTCAAGTTAGTCTAAAGGGAATCAAATTTTAAATCACTGTGTATCTGTACAGATACATCTTTAGCCCAGCAAGAGGAGGCAATCATTTCCCTTTGTGCTCTTGTGGACATAGTCATTTACAGCTTTCTGAACATAGTAAGCAGGCCACTTGATTCATGTGAGGGAGATTTGCTTTTCACCTCTAAGCCTCCAGAAGTAAGCCACAGTGTTTACTTCCCAGAAGCTTGTTTGGGAAGCAGGGGTAAGGAAGATGAGAGAAAAGATTGAGACTAGACTGGTAGCAAGAGATTGATGCATAACACATTTTTCTCTCTACCTTTTAAACAACCATATGAATTTCAGTTCTAGAAATCCAATAGGGATTCACTCCTGTTGTCAATAATTAAGGAGAGAAAAGAATGAAACTGAGGAAAGGGTTTAGAAATGAATGGGATAGAAAACAGAAGACACGTGGTTATGTATCCAAAAGCAGGTCTGGCTGCCTGCTGCTACAAAAGCCAATACTCAAGAGGCAGTTGCTGATGTAAAGGAAAGTGGTTTATCTTCAGGTGCCAGCCACCTGGAAGATGGAGGACTCTTGTCACAAAGCCCATCTCCTGGGAAGATGAGGGACTCATATCTCAAAGCCTATGTCCCAGGAAAATGGGGACTCTTGTCTCAAAGCCCATCTTCTGGGAAGATGGGGGACTCATGTTTCAAAGCCCATCTCCACATCTCAGTGGAGGCAGAGATTTTTATAAGGAGGGAGAGAGAAAGCAGAACAAAGAGTTGGGGAGGGGTGGCAGCTGAGAAGTTCGCCATCTGCACAACTAGCACAGTCCGTTCCAATAAGGCAAGTGAGGGTCTGGTGTGTGTCACCTGATTTAGTCATCCCGGATTCACATCATCCTGACCTCACATCATCCTGGTTCCATGGTTGAAGGTCAAATCTCCCAGAGCTGGGATGTCTGAAGGTCAGAGTCTGTATCTTTCTGGGCAGAAAGTTCCTAGGATTCTTATACAAACATGCTGTTGATCTACAAGCTACATATTAGAGTCAGCACTTACAGAAACAATGTCTAAAGAATGGTGGTATGGGTTACAGTTTCCCACTATTACAATTTTCTGCTGTTACTGATATATAGTTTTAGGCACAGGTATTGAATAAGTTGAAATAAACTTATGGAGAACTAATCAGGGCTTTTAGGATACACTTCTCTGCTGATTAGTAAGTAGGAAGTCACTTCCCAAGAGAAGTTGAAGAGATTGGCATGAAGTTATCAAGGTCAGAGCTAAAACAATAACTGCATATTTGAAGATCTAAGTGGAATAAATGCTTGGGTTTTTTTTTTAATCTTTCTAGAGGAGGGTAGTCAGCTGGCCTCATCTTCTAGTGGATGAGCAGCACTTTTCATGCAGAAGAAGGGGGAAAACATTCTAGGACCCATAGGGAGCATGAGCATTCATTTCTTAATTCTGTTGATTCATTCGTTTTCTTTTTATTTTATTTTAACAGTTTTTTTTATTGTATTTTTACTCATTTGTTTTATTCATTCACTCAGTGATAAAATAATATGAAGTACCTAATAGGTGCCAGGTGTTTACTGTTCTAGGCATTGATATGCAGGGTGGGGCAAAAATAGGTTTACAGTTGTTCATATGGAAAATAATACAATAAATAATAATACAAGAATGAACTCTGTGCTTTGTGTACTCATGACTGTAAACCTACTTTTGCCCCACCCTGTATCTATATAGTGTATACAATGCATTGAACAAGACAGACAAGGTCCCTGCTGTCCAGGAGCTTACATTCTAATGGAGAAAGAAAAAGAAAATTAGCAGATAGTGGTAAATACTACTGTGAAAACAGGGAGATGAACTAGAGATGACTGCTGAGTCAGGGTATGTGTGCTGGGATCCTTGATTATCTCATTTGAGCTTATAGAAGAAAGATGAGAAGGAAAAGTCGTATGAAGAGCTGAGAAAAGATGTTTCAGGCAGAGCGGGGAAATATACATGCTTATTTGAGAAATAAAACAAAATATTTCACGTTTGGACTTTAATGGACTTAGGGGAGAGTGGTGTAAGGAGAGGTGGAGAAATCTGGCAAGGTTCAGATGATACAGCATCTGGAAGGCAGGGGAAGGAACTGGGTTTTATTCGGAGTTTGGTGGAGGCCTTGGAGGGGACTTCAGCAGGTGAATGACATGATTTGTATGTTAAAGAGACTCTTTGTGTAAGGAATGGATTATATGAACAAGACTGGAAGTTTGGGAGGTCATTTGGGAAGCTACTGTAGTCCTCTGGGGAAAGGATGATGATGATTTAGAGGGAGATGGACTTGAGATATGATATGGAAATGGACTTGCTGATGGATGTTGTAAGAAAGCAGAGGAGAAGTGAGTTTGGGGCATTGAATCCTGGGTAGATGGTGGTGCTATGTTCCAAGATGGGGAAGACTTAGGAAGAACAGGATTGGGTAGAGAAGAGGCAGTTGGTCATATCTAGGGGCTGATACACTGAAATTGTTTGTGAAACTCCAATGTAAAGAGACCAAACGAGCAGTTGGAGGGAAAGAGCTAGGAACCCCAAGGAGGGGCCCAGGTCCAAGAAAACAGATTGTGAGTCCCCAGTGACTCCCAGACAGTGTTTAAAGCCATGAAATGAATAGGATTGCCTATGAAGACATTGTGAGCTGAAACAATGGTAGCGGTAGAGGAGGAGGAGCTGAGAAAGGGGAAAGGAAGCAACCAGACAGATGAGGGGCAGACCACAAAATGGTGGTTTCCAGAGGCCAATAAGGGAGAGTGTACCTGAAAGAATTGCTTGCAGCTGAGCTGTTGGATAAGGAGGATAGAAATGTCTGATTAAATTTGACAGTGGCGAGGTCCCTTATAACCTTGATGAGCAGTTTTAGTCTTGAATGGAGAGGGAGATATAGGTTGGAATGGGTTGAAAACTGATGAGAAATAAGAAATCAGTGACCAGAGACCAAAAATGGCAGAGGAGTAAATAGAAGCAATACTAACCTCCCCCCAGGACCAATCTAGAATTCCAACTAAATTGTAGAGAACTCATCCTGAATAACTAACTGAACACAAGCTGGAGAGAAGCCTTACAACCAAGGACAGAGAGAGGAAACCACTTCACTACAATGAGACTGGAGGGTAGTGTAGAGGAGATGTGGTGGCAGGCTGGGCTCCCATGGGTGGCAATTGAAGTTCTGGAGGGATACTTCAGCAGCCGGGGGTTCCTCCTGAGAAGTGTGAGGTCTAAACCCCAAGCTGTGCTCCTCAGCCTAAAGCACCAGTGCCAGGAAAGGAACCAGATAACATCCAGCTGTGAAAAGCAGTGGGATTTCTGTCTGCCAGAAAGAGATGGCTAAAAACACAGAGAGCCTTTTAAAGGGCCAATGCAAAAAATTTCATTTGCTGCCCTTACCCTGGCCTCTGCCAGAAGGAGGGCAGAGTGGACTGGAGATGCTTGAGGAGAGTCTGGGCAGGTGGCTCTGGGTAGAGAACTGAAGGAATAATGGCCAGGATCCTTGTGCTTAGTCATTACCCTTACGGCAGAAGCCATCTTTCTGAGGCAGGGCTCTCACCTCCAAGTGGCATCAGCCCAAGGAGAAGCAATAGCCCTGCCCACAGGAATTACTCTGCCCTACGCTGTAGAGCTTAAGTAGGGCTGCAGGTACAGTTTGAGGTTACATCATTGATTAAGTTTAACAACTAAGGTGGATCTCTGGGTGCGCAAAGATTTAGCTGACCCTCCCACAGGATCAGTTCTGGTAAAAACTAGCCTTGATGTGCAGCCTGGTTATTTCTGCATACAAACAGGCCCAGCAGAGCGGGCAACATGCTCTGAATCACTGATAGCTCCAAAAGTGTTGCCCAGGGCCAGTAACATGCAGAGTCTGACAAAGGCCTGAACCCGAGTATTTGCAGGACTACCTAATACATAAAAACAAATACAAAGAAGTAGCCCAAATGGGAAGATGAAGTAACAGACCCCAAATGAAAG